GGTATTGGACGGCAACCGATGCCACGTTTGACGAGTCGGGTGTCGGTGTAATGCACAACGGGTTTATACTAAAGCCAGAACCTATTAACCCTCGTTAGGATACAGTAAATGATTGAACACAGATATAGATTTATATTAAATTAATAATTTAATCAAATATTGAATTTATACAAAAATAATAATATTGTTGACGTTAATTAAGTAATAAACTTACGTTTAATAAACAACTTGAACTAAATATTATTTGTTTAAATGTTTATGAATTACAACAGAGATTAAAGCATTTGTATTTTAAACTACAATCATTGTAATATCATGCAATGAAATGCAACTTATTAAATAATTTTTATAATCTTTCTTTATAGACATCAGATACTATAGAAATCAAAATTACCGTACAATTCAAATATCAATTTATGAAGTTTAATTAATTAAATGTTAAATTTAAAATTAAAATACAAACCTAAAATGATCACATTTACCCTAAAAATAATAAACATGGTTATATCTATGCAGTCGCTCTACATTTCATGAATCAATAAAATTTATAGAACTGTTAAAAAATTAACTCAAAAAACTATGAATAAATAAAAACAAAAAAATAAAACAAAACATTTGTTATGAATAAATAGTGATAAAATATGCTATTTATAGATAATTTGAAAAGATTCCCGCATTTATTTAAATGTTATTTAATATTGTTATTGCATTTAAATAATATTAAATATGTATAAACTAAAATTATAAGCCAATATAAGTCATTTTTATAAAATTAATGAACCCGTTGTGCATCATTCCAACACCCGAGTCGTCGAATATGTTAACCGTTGCCGACCAATGCCTGGACCAACGGCGAGAATGGTATGACTCGCTGTCCGTGTCGTAGGCCTTCAGTTCGTTCATAACTTCCTCGCGACTGATGTCCACAAACGGGTTGTGCCGAGTGTTGAGCCCAACGCCGGCCAACTCTTCCGGTTTGGTGTCGACTGTCTGGACGGGCGTCCGAAACACTGGCTCCACATCGAAGTCGAGAGCGTCGGCCACCACTTCCTGGTCGTCGGGTCGCACGTAATGGCACAGAAGCCGCGCCAACGGAGCCATTTGAGGCAGAGTCGGGACAGTGAACTCATAGCCGGCGTTAATATTGGTGTGAATGTCAAAACTCTTAGCCCACGCTATGTCTCCCCTTCCCATCACTTCGCACACCAATCGTATGATAGGTTCGGTCGCATTCACCACGAATTTTACGTCCTGTCCGACAGTGATGTCGGTTGTGTCCGCGCGGACCACTTGCAAGTATTGTCCGCACCGGGTTTTAGCTTTTGTAATGGCTATATCATACGTTTGTCCCATATATTCGGCTTTAACTCCCATTCGCTCAATATCTTTGGGCGGAAAGACATCAAACTTAATGAGTCCATTGATTGGCGTCACAAGTAATGGACTTTCTTTGCATTCTTTCCAATCAGTTTTATCCCATGAATAGCCGTATTTGATGTTGAGTTGTGGTCCGCTATCCGGCACTGGTTTGCCGTCTTGTGTCCCAACTTTGACTACAAATGTGTTTTTCAGCCCCGGTTTGTATGCCATCGACGTCTTAACCACTTCTATCTTCAAATCCCTTTCGTATAGCATTACAGTCTTATGTCGGGTCAACTGCTTTCCGGTCAACGCATCCCTTACTCGTACCGTGAAATCGATTTCAAGGCCCGATTCGTCTAAATGAAAACTATTGTCGATTTGCAAATCGTCTATTAAATCGATGTTTAAAGTAGCGCTTCCGTCGATCGTTTCCTTTGCCCGTAATATCCCTGAAGTCAGACAATGAATAATGACATTCATTTATTAATATATTGTAAGTATTTATAAATTAATTAATAATATTGAAAATGATTCTATAAAACTACAAAATTCATTAGCATTAGCACTACTTATATACAACTGACTTATGACTTATATACCTATAAAATAATGCAATTAAGTATAAATGTAGAATTATTTATAAGTTATTAATATTAAAAATCTATACTCGGGTTGTTATGATCTTTGTTCGCAATGTAAAGTGTAAGCTCTCCCTTAACAGCCTTCCCATTGGTATCAAATGCTTTAACGAGTGCCACCATTTCAGGCCGATTTCTCGTCACATATGTTGGCAACACTACCTCCACGTCAAACGTAGGCAACACATCGTCGGTCACAATAAATGTCTTTGTGGTGTTGTGTCTCAAAGCCGTCACACCTATAGTCCAGTGGCCCAACACTGGCTGTGCCGACAGTTGCAGCTCTTCAGAGATGACACCGTTTTTCGCATTCAATTGTTTCCATTCATTGACACGCTTTCCGTTACCGTCCTATCGATTCATGTCGTTATCAAATTAATCAAATAATTAAGTAATAATTAATAAATATATAAATTATAACTTATTTTTAAACTCTAAATTAAAAATACCTCAATATATATATCAATAGGAATGTTGTCTTTGGGAATTAGCGATGGGTTGACCACAACGGCCCGGAACAGTACTTTCTGTCCGGGTTTATACACAGCTTTGTCTGTCTGTATGAATACCGACACACATTTCTCCATAAAAGTAAGCATCAATTGATTTTTAAATATATTCGTTGTTATGGCAACAGTTGATCTGCCATCATCCCGTCCCCAGTGAAGTGGCTTTTTATCATCAATTACATCGTGCTTGGTGAAATTGGCGCCTGTCCCCATCACATGCATCTGGTAGTAGCCTCGTGGCCAATCGCCGATCGCTAGGGTAAGTACTTTGGATTCAGCCGTACCGACAGTGACGGCACCGGTGCTGACACTATGTCCCCAACCGCTAACAGTGGCGTTTACTTCGATGGGCGCCGGCATGTCATACAGTGAGACACTGATGTGGTAATCAGTGTTTAGGCGCAACATCTTAGGAGCCACCACAACATACATGGGTTTACCCCCATTTGCCCTTATATTCGACATTAATATATTTTACAAGTTTTAAAAATTAATTAAATATCAATTTCATTAATACTAACAGATGTGTTGTTGAGATGATTGCCAATACTGTCAGCCATTTAATAGAAAATTGAAAATTATTTTTCATTTCTCTTAAACCTAAAGTTATACCACAAAATAGTTTAAAACACTTTTTATATTGAATATCAGTTTACACAATAGATTCTAGACTTATAATGAAAGCAATTCTTTATCTATTTATGATATTTATATACGTTTACAAACTTATAACTTATTCACAAGAAAGTTATAACTCAATTCATATGAAATTCATTTACAAATGATCTCAAATAAAGTGATGTGTTAATTTAAAAACATTGAAAGTTACACAATATTTAAAACTTTAGATTTCTATCTGACAACTAGGATTGCCAACTCTTATCGATCTCAGCATAAAACATCTATAATATCTCTTATGTCACCTTGACCATTATCACTGCACATTTAATTAGAAATATTTTACAATAGTAAAATAACGTTTCATTTATTGTATTTTTAATTTAATTATGACATGAAATCGCATTTTACTACAGTTCAAATACTACAGTACAAATAAAAGTTAAGAATGCCATGAAATTAATTATTATGTTTAAGTAAATATCTAATATAGTTTGCTATTAGATCTAAAATAAAATATTTAAAATAACAATTTTAAACAAAGATAGATGTCTCAAATACTTCATAGCAACATTTAGAAGTTGTGTTGTATTATTATAAAATATTATGTAATTTAAAATTTACTATTATTTTCAAAAATATTTATAATTATATATACAGTAATAATGGTCAAGGTTTGGTCAAGCTAAATTGAGAAATGTATGAATATTTCAAGGAGGAGGTCAATAAGAGTTGGCAACCCTAGTTGTCAAATAAAAGTATATAATTTCAAACATTGTAAAACTTTCAGTTTTTAAATTAATTAAAAATTATCAGTTTATTTGAAATTATTTATAAATGAATTTCATATGATTTAAGTCATATTCATGTGAATCAGTTATAAGTTGGTAAACGTATATAACTATTATAAATAAATAGAGAAGTGCTTTCATTGTAAGTATAGAACTTATTGTATAAACTTATATTCAATACAAGAATTGTTTTAAAATATTTTGTATTAATCTATAGGTATTAGTGAAATGAAAAATAATTTTCAATTTTCTATTAAATGGCTGACAGTATTGGCAATCATTTCAACAACACATGTGTTAGTATTAATTAATTAATTAAATATCAATTTAATTAATTTTTAAAACTTATAAAATAAATTATTATTAAATATAAGGGCAAATGGGGGTAAACCATTGTATACAGTGGTGGCCCCGAAGGTGTTGCGGCCAAACACTGATTACCACATCAGTGTCTCACTGTATGACATCCCGGCGCCCATCGAAGTGATCGCCAGTGTTATCGGTCCGGCACACAGTGTCAGCACCGGTGCCGTCGCTGTCGGTACGGCTGAGTCCAAAGTACTAACCCTAGCGATCGGCGATTGGCCAGAAGGCGACTATAAGGTGCAAGTGATGGGACAGGGCGCCAATTTCACCAAGTACGATATAAACGGTGATAAAAAGCCACGTCGCAGGGGACGGGATGAAGACTCACAAACTGTTGCCATAGATAGATTTCAAAATGAATTGCCGCTTAAATATAAGACGAAATGTGTGTCGATATTCATACAGACAGACAAAGCTGTGTATAAACCCGGACAGAAAGTACAGTTCCGGGCAGTTGTGGTCAACCCATCGCTGATTCCCAAAGACAACATTCCTATTGATATATATATTGAGGTATTTTAAATTGAATTTGAAAATGAGTTATAATTTATTTATTTATTAATTATTACTTAATTATTTGATTAATTTCATAACGACATGAATCGATAGGACGGTAACGGAAATCGTGTCAATGAATGGAAACAATTGAATGCGAAAAACGGTGTCATCTCTGAAGAGCTGCAACTGTCGGCACAGCCAGTGTTGGGCCACTGGACTATAGGTGTGACGGCTTTGAGACACAACACCACAAAGACATTTATTGTAACCGACGATGTGTTGCCAGTGTTTGACGTGGAGATAGTGTTGCCAACATATGTGACAAGAAATCGGTCTGAAGTGGTGGCACTCGTTAAGGCATTTGATACCAATGGGAAGGCTGTTAAGGGAGAGCTCATACTTTCCATGAAGACCAAAAATAATAGAAACTATAGTATAGATTTTTTAACTTAATAATTTATATTTAAATATACATTTATATTAATAATCACCGAGTACAGATATTAATTAATTTATCAATACTTATATATTAATACATTAATGTCATTATTCTGTGTCTGACTTTCAGGTAAATATCGGACAAAGGCTACGATCGACGGAAGCGCTTCAGTGATGGTGAATGTAAGAGACGAGTTGCAACTCAGCCCTTGGATTACTCTCGACTCTGGCCTCGACGTTGTATTCACGGCACAAGTGAGAGACGCGTTGACCGGAAAGCAGTTCAACCGATCAAAGACTGTGAGGGTATACGAAAGGGATTTGAAGTTTGAAGTGTTGAAGCCGTTCAACACATTGAAACCGGGGCTCAAAAACATGTTTGTCGTCAAAGTTGTGCCACAAGACGGCAAACAAGTGGCCGATAACGGACCCCAACTGACACTTAAATACGGCTATTCATGGGAAGAGAGTGAATGGAGAGACAGTCCATTACTGTTGTCGCCAATCAATGGATTTATTAAGTTTGATGTTTTTCCGCCCAAAGATATTATCCACATGAAAGCTAAAGCCGAATATATGGGACAAACGTATGATATAGCCATTACAAAAGCTAATACCCGGTGCGGACAATACTTGCAAGTGGTCCGCGCGGACACAACCGACATCACTGTCGGACAGGACGTAAAATTTATGGTGAATGCGACCGAACCTATCGTACGACTCGTATGCGAAGTGATGGGAAGGGGAGACATAGCGTGGGCTAAGAGTTTTGACATTCACACTAATATTAACGCCGGCTATGAGTTCACTGTCCCGACTGTGCCTCAAATGGCTCCGTCGGCGCGGGTTGTGTGCCATTACGTGCGGCCCGACGACCAGGAAGTGGTGGCCGACGCTCTCGACTTCGATGTGGTGCCAGTGTTTCGGACGCCCGTCACAGTCGACACCAAACCGGGAGAGTTGGCCGGCGTTGGGCTCAACACTCGGCACAACCCGTTTGTGGACATCAGTCGCGAGGATGTGGTGAACGAACTGAAGACCTACGACACGGACCGCACGTCTTCCTATTCTCATGGTTCCCGGCATTGGTCCGCAACGGACGCCTTATTTGACGATTCGGGTGTTGAAGTGATGCACAACGGGTTCATACTATCTCAAGAACCTATAAGGTGGGGTGGTTAGTAACTGGTTCAACACAGATATAAATTAAATTAATAATTAAATTAAATATCGAATTTATTTAAAAAAATATTAATATTGTTGACGTTAATTAAGTAATAAACTTACGTTTAATAAACAACTTGAACTAAATATTATTTGTTTAAATGTTTAAATATTAATACTAACTTGTGAGATTAAAGCATTTGTGTTTTACGCTAAAATCATTGTACTATCATTTATATGCTATCTATCAATGTTTTATATTGAAATTACAAGTAACTGGGTAATAAACTCAGCACATTGACCGCGATATTCGTTATATACACTTTTGGCAAATTCCCGGACTATTTCCGTAAGTCTTTGAAATATTTAAGACATCTATCTCTGTTTAAAATAAATATGCTATTTATTGTTTTATAGTAAATATAACTTTTTCAACAAAAAGATAAATTATACCTATTATGTAAACAAAGTATATGTTATTTTAAAACTAACATATTTTATAGCCTAGAAATATAACGGCGCCCTTTCCCATCACCTGCACGTGTAAAGGAAACGGCGATCGGAAAGCAGTGCAACAAATCCAATACAATAAATATATACGAAAGGGATGTGAGGGTAGAACTGGTGAAGCCATCCGCAGACACATACAAACCGGGGCTAATAAACAAACTTCTCATTAAAGTGGTCACACAAGACGGCAAACCAGTAGCCGATTACCGACCGAAAATTGAACTCACGTACGGCTACTCATGGAATGAGAGTGAATGGAAAGAATGCAATGGCTGTCCATTACTTTTATGGCCATTCAATGGACTCATTATGTTTTATGTCATTCCCCCTAAAGATATAAGCTATATGGTTGTTAAAGCCGAATATATGGGATACACCTAACACAAAGAACATAAAGAATAATCCACACGATTATCATCTCATAAGCAATGATATCAAACACAATGACAAACCATTGTGCTTATGAAATAAAAATAATAGCAGGATGTTATTATGTAAATCTATACAGCATATAATAACAAAAAATGTAAAAATTATTTTTTTAAATCAAAACATATTGTAACTGGATCATATTTAAGTGCCAAAGTTCTAAATCAATTTAAAGAAAAACTAAACAAGTTATTTTAATAATTTCAACTGATTCATAACTTGAATGTGAAGTAGTATTAATATTAAATAGATGTTTACATTAAAAATTAATTTTAGTTATTCAAAATAACGATTAAATTACAAAATGCTCGACAGTTTCTTTCACCGGAATAATACCACTATCAATATATATATATATCATTTGAAAGATCGATTTAAACACTACAATAATATGCAAAGAAACTTGTGGTATTTTCCGGTGGAAGAAAATTTTGAGCATTTTGTAATTAATGGTGACTAAAATTAATGTTAAATGAAAACTTTCTCTTAGTATGTATAGTACTATACTTATTTATCATGGATCCGTTGGAATTTTTTAAATATCATGTTTAGTTATTTCGCAAATTGATTTTGTATTTTGGCAAATCTCCGACAATATCTAAAAAAAAATTTTACTAAGAATAATAATTTTTGTATATTTATTCTTATTCATTAATGCTTTAATCACGAATAAATTTTCATCCTGATATGGCGACATTTTCTTAACTATGGTCATTGTGGCTGGTATTGTAGGTATGGAGCGATCGAGTAGACTATATATGCTATTTGTGGTCAGGAATTGCGATGAATACATGTCTGGCCCACACCGGAGCCCACGGCGACTCGTTTTGGTCACATTAGCCCGTGTTATGTGTCTATTAAACGGTATTAGATTTGGATTATCGATTATAATCAGGAAAGTGAGCGTAGATTTAATAATATTAATTTTAGATATTGTATAAAATAAAAGCAACCAATCGAATTTTACTTTGTAAATTCATTTTTATAATTTTTATATTATAATATTCACTTATCATTTGTTATCTTAAGCCATGGGTAATATACATGTATGAGTTTGTTGAGGACCCCACATATACTGTGGCCAATCCTATGATAGCCTCCGGTTTCATATCTATCTTATCGTTTGCCGTATTTTTAATTGGCATTAATCTGCAGACATTGGATTTGAGTCATACATTGCATGCATTTAAACTTGTCTATCAATTAAAATACCGATTATTGAAATACCCGTTAAACTCAATCAATATGAAACGATATACAACCAGGTTAAACGTTATATCCAAATATGTAATTAACCAGGCTACTTTACTTATGATAGCGACCACACTTATGATAGACATTTATGCCACATATTTGGCATTTAATGACCCAGGGGTTTATTTTACACTAATCGGTACTCTATTTTGGTTTTGTGTATTATTTGTATTTTGCATTCAAGCGTATGGAGTAGTGTTTTGCGGGTTCAGCTACTGGTACGCATGCGCTTTATTTCTTAAGTATAAGTATACCGAAGCATATAATAAATTAATATTGCATATAAAACGTGGTTTAACTTATGATAAGACAAATTTTGAAAAATTGATACAAATTCTATGCGAACACAATTCACTCGTTAGACTGACCAGAGATATAAACATCACTTTCCGGTTCTCTGTGTTTATCATCTACTATATGGCTACCCCTGGATATCAGCTCGTGATATATTGCATACATCACAGGGACACTCACTTTTATGGCCGGGTATTCGCCGCAACCATAACTGTTATTTGTTATTCAGCCGTATTGGGTATGAATGTGATGAGCACTTGGATATCCAGAGCGGCTCATAAAC